TACGTTGTTCTTGGACACTCGCTCCGCGACGTTCCTCCTCAAGACCCCTAAGCGAAGCTGAAGCAGGGTACCATGGTAGCACAGTGCACAGTCTTATGATCTTTTTCGAAGCGACGCGAGAAGCGAGTTCTAATGTTTCAGCCAATTACGGCACTTGTCACATCTTCCATCACGATCGACAAGAGCAGCACTCGACTGTTTCGTTTCAGGACTAGGCGTCCAGTCGCTAACTCACTGAACCTCAAGCTTAAAGACACCAAGCAAAGCGATGGTTCAAGATAAGAGACGGGAGAGAAGAGAGGCCCCGCAACTGATCACCCCGAGGCTGCCAAATCCCCCTGTCCAGCTCCGGTTACGGCTGGTAACTGCAAGGCGAGCGAATATCCATTGGATTCTAAACATGGAAGCAATAAAATGCTGCTAAACATATGCTATCCCAGAACTGAGCTAATCTCATCACCCCCTACTCTAAGACCCCAAACGCCAACGCTAGAAGCCTGGACAACGAAATGACTCCGGCGCCAGTAAGAAGAGTAACGTGCTAACCAACGCCGGCTCGCAATGTGTATGTGTTTGCATAAACATGATTATTAGATGCTCCGCGTATTATACTTCTCGGCAATCCCCTTGACGATCCGCCCCATCTTGACCTGGGGTAGCTCCTCCTATTGTCACATCTTCGACGTCGCTCGCAAAATAGCCATCATGGCGCTTCTTGCGCCGCACGCCAAAAAAATCGCCTAGTGTATCACTAACACTACGTGACCGCCGACGCACCAGATCGTCCTCACCTACAGGCCCCTCAGCCTCGTCTAAGGCGCTAGGAAGATTTTCCACTGATACCGGCGCTGCTGATTGTGCGGGGAGCGTGTTCGACCGGGAGTTGTTATCGGGATCAGCATTCTCATCGTCTTCGTTAAAGAACAGCCCGGCTCGGATGGTGGAACGTATACGACGCATCGAGGACTGGCGCACACTCGGGTCGTCAGATGCGCGCAGAAAGGCGTCCTTGACCACAGCCGTAACCGTAGACGATAGAGGGGACGGAGAGATGAAGGTCCTGGATCGGCTTCCGGTACCCCCGGGCTTCGAAGGACTAGCTTGAGGCCGTGGGAGAAGCGAGCCATCAGCAGCGAGGGCATCTCTCATCGGTGTTGTTGGGTGAGAGGCAAACGCCGCTGAGCCCGCGGTCCCCGGTGGTGCAAGAACAGAGTCTGTAGAGTACGCCCTAACGCCTCTTCCCGGTGGTGTTGACGGCCCTCCGAAATCGTTCCAGGGGAAACCAGAAGCCATAGTCTCCTGACCTGGGGACATTTGAGAGCTCAGAGCCTTGGCTGATGGGAGATTGTTGTTGTCCTGATGAGGTGTAACCGCCGCTTTCAAGACTCTCTGTGCATCAGGGTAGTTAAGACCTGATAGGTGACTGGACCGTCGTGACTGTGACTTGGGGGTAGAGAACCCCTGACCGTCTTGGTAGGACGCTGTACCATTCCCTTCCTGGTTCGCAAGGCCTATTGTATCCTCAAAATCATCGTCTTCAGACAGGACCTCATCGTCATCATGGCTTTGCTCACGGCCGCTAGTAATGAGAAAAACGCCGAAGAAGGTAAGGAGACAACCTCCAACAAACTTGGCCGCCTGTTCAGCGTTCGTTCGTTCGAAATCGCGGTAAAGGACGGCGCTTCCAATGATCACACACAGCGTAAACATTACGAACTGGATTGGAATAACTTGGGTCGAATCGAAACGTTGCAACGCCTTGTTGACGTAGCGAATCTGCATGACTGCTGTCCCAAGGAGAATAACGATGAGAACATAAGTGACAGGAGTTGCAAAAGCGCGCCAAAGAGTGGAAGACAACATCGACGAAACGCCTTTTGTCGCAAGGGCAGTGTAGCCGCCTAGAGCTATAGTCAGTGTCTGCACAGCGGGCTTCTCTACCGTGTTACATACCAAACAAACCAACAAGCCCCAGGTCGATAAGAATCGTGCGTCTTCCGTACCTAGGACTTGCCCACATCAAGACCAGGATAAGAAATATGGTCACGCCGAGATAGATCTCAAAAGCCAACGTAGTGATGGCGTCCCATACATCATGGGGGTTCAACTTGGTCTCCTCTTGCTTTGCGCTCAGAACAACAGTAACAACACCCCCAACAGCGATAACTACACCCCAGAAATCGCGCTGTCGGAATTTCTCGTGGAACATGGCAGGCGCAATGATGCAGTTTGATATCAAGGCGACAACTCCAAGAGGAGAGACAATCGAAGCGGGGGCGAAGCCATATGCGAGGAAGTTGCCCATCTCACCAAGAGTAATAAGAACCTGACCCAACCACCAGTACGGAGATTTGAGGTATGATGACGACGTATCATCCTCTTTGCTATCGGTGCTCTGCGATGCCTCGGAGTGAAAGGACCCGGTCAGCGGATCAGTTTCACGGCTCTCGTCCATGCGATCTCCATCATCTGTACTTGTTCCGTGACCATTTTGATACCCAGCTCCATCGCTACCTCCTCCAATTGTGCCGTATGAGCCACCATGATCTCCAGGGTGAGGGTGCTTCAATGCTTCTTTCGCCCTCTTCCGGTTCCTACTCCGTTGCTTGTGAAGACGAATATGTGCGTATCTCTGAACATTCAGCGCAAGAGCGATGAGGACGTTGCCTACAATGGCTGTGACGATGCCGATAAGTGAGGACCACTCCTGTATTTTATCGCCGGGTTTGCCGGAATGGCCGTGATGAGAGGAGTTGTTGGAGGCGTCTTGCGCCCAAGAATCGACCACCATTGATGGCCATGGCGATTCGACATTGGCCAACCGCATCATCTGGCGGGAGAGGTGCACAACAGGTTTTGGATAAATTCGCGACGGTCGATAACGAAAATTAAGGCGCAACACTCAGACAAACGTCGGGAAATTCGGAGGATCGGTCACCGGGAACGGATAATAAGATGACCGAGCTTGGACGGATAAAGCGTGATTGACGTCGTGGTGGAGGAATCGATAGTGTCGGTTTGGTTGGTAGTCAGTTATTAAGAGTATCATGGGGGCAGCGTATGGTCAGTATCAAGCTGCGTCGTGCAGTACATGGCCAGCCGTCGCAGACGGAGAGGATGATGATGCGTTTATGATGATGGCGATAGGTTTTCCAGGAAGAATTTACCAAGAAACAAAGAATAATGTCTCAAAAAAGACAAGACAAGAAGCTTGCCTTGCGAGAGTCAAGTTAGTAATGGAGGTGATGTATGCCCGCGGTTGGCACGGCCTTGGCGAGCCCGGGGATCCAATGTCATCTCGCATTTTTAGGCGAGGCAGAACCTAAGCAGAAACTGAGGTGTCAAAGTGGAGCCTTGTCTCTGGCTCAGGGTCTTGTCGCTGAAATAGACCAATAGAATCAAAAGATCAACTGTAAGCCACTGGTTCGATGCCTTGGGGATGCCCGTTGTTGCCCGCTACCCCCACTAGCGTTGGACTTTGCCGTCATAACTCGCAATGGAACGAGAGCTTTCGATTGTCACATGGTTTTCTCAATCCAGTTCAATTCTGGAATCACGACGAATCTTGTATCAATTCTGGCACTTTCTCCAAGAGTTCCTTACTATCACTCATCTAGTTAATAAAACTTGTCCATGTACGCGACCTGCTAAAAGGCGCCTCTCAGCGAAGTCATCTTCCGACGTTTCTGATACCTCACGGAAACCGGATTGCGAACAGAAGCTACATAAACGACTGGGCTCTAACTTGATTGAGTCTCAACTGCATCCCAACTCACAACTCACTACTACAAACAACACACAAACATATCCACTATGCTGGGACCTTTGGATCTTGGCTTCGCCTGGCCATCTGAACAGTGTATGACCTCGATTGCTTTCTCCTCTTATTCCCCGCTGGCCCTTCGAGATATGCCCCAGCCTAGACCAAATGATGCACCCTCCGACATAGACACTTCCATCTTCACCTTCGAAGACGCCTTCGAGGATCTCCTTGCTGAGTCACAGGGAAAGGAACTACCAGACCTCAAATCCCGATATGAGCAACGGAAACTCCTCCGATCTATGTACCCAAATGGTGAGCCCGCGTACTTTTGGTTGCACAGGTTGGGATCCCAGGGCCTCCTGGAAGACTTTAGACCCGCCAAGCTTATGAAATCGCTTGCGAACAATAATTGGGACCAACTGCACAAAGAATTAGATCGCAGAGCCCAAGAAGTATGGCGCGCTGCTTTTGGCGTGGATGACAGGAACAATACCTCGAGAGATCATGTCCCGACTGGTGAAGAACGCAATGAAGAGAGAAGTCGTCTGGATGGAGAAAGTCAATCTGAGTATGAAATCGAGGATCTCCGTGCAGAGCTTCATGGGCACCGCAACCTGCGCAGAGCACCTAACGACTTTGATGAACTATTCTCTGCAATTCAGTCATCCTTTGCTAGCGACCGATCGCCCTGGGATTCATTTATGAAGCTGATTACCGAGGACCATCCCGCGGCACCTTCTAACAGTGAAGAGAAACAGCTGCAGAAGCCTGGAAGGGATGAGAAGCAGGTCGTTACTAAGGACGAATACGTGGATCGATTCGGCTACCTACACACAAAGACATTGGTCAAGACACTGGATGACAACGGTAACGAGATTGGAAGCCACAGCCATTACACCGTTCGACCAGCCCCAAAGGATGACGAACTTGCACAGATCGAGGATAAGGATGGCCAGGAGTCTGGCACCAAGGTGGAAGGAAGTGTCAAAGTAAAGACTGGCTGGCTCTGGAAATAAGGACTTTGTACTCTGAATATGACGGAGAACTTGAGGTAGAATTTGCTCCCAGCTCAATGATGTATGATTTGGTAAATGTAATATTATAACGACAAAAGAAGCTTCGACATCAAGCTCTTCCAGTCAATCGGGCGATAGGCTGATCTCAAATTGCAATACACCCCTAACCATGGATTTCAATGTAAACACTTTTAAGTAGATAGGTATCAACACTCTAGCACTCATTTCTTTCCCCGACTCAGAGCCTTCTTCTTGCGCATCACTCTGGTCCGCGCAATCAGTCTGTGCTTCATCTCGGCATCTGTCTCTGGCTTCCGGCCACCCTCTTCCTCGGCCTGCTTACTGCCTCTGTCCTTGCCACCCTTATGGACCTTATCACCCCTATCGCCCTTGCGTCCGCGCTTCTTGTCATCCCTGGTATGCTGAGCATTTGTCTTGGGCTGAGCCTCAGCCTTTGCAGCCTTGTTATGTTCTGGGTTGAGTTGCCTCGACCTCTCCTCGTTGGCACGTCGTCGTTGAACAACTTGGGCATTCTCGATAGCGAACTCCACGACCAGTCTCTGTTTCTTACCAGCTTCGTTCTCGAGCTGATGGCCGTTGAGATAACGCAGTCCCATCAAGGCCCAGTGGTGTGAGGTGTACTCGATGAAACCATAACCGCGACTCTTGCCACCATCCTTCTCTGGCATCTTTTGTCCCTGTCCACTCTCAAACACGATCTTGGCTTGACGAATGATACCCTTGCCCTTCGCCTTGCGCTCGTGCTCCTTCTCCTTGGCATCCTTTCCATCTCGTGCATTCTCTTCCTTTGATAGCGGCTGTCGGCGGCCTGCCTTAACCTCCTTTGCAAACTCAACAACAGCCTTTCGCGCAAGCTCCTTAAGATCTTTGGAATCCATGTTTCGGGGAATATTGCGTATAGCCAACCGAGTCAGACTCAAGTGCAGACTGGGGTTACCCTGTACAAGCTTCTTTCGTTGAGCGGCACTGGCTTCTCGCACTTGCATTTCTGAGGGTGTGAGGAGATTAAATAGAGGTGAGCGTCTGTCGATCACGCCCTCGTTCAGCAAGAAGAGCTTGCGCTTGTCCTTCTCGTTACGTTTGGCGAGGGAGCTGTCAGCGAGGTTGGTTGCCTCTTGTTTGTTGACTGCCTGTGCAATCTGGAGAAGACGTCCGTCGAGTGTGTACTTGCCATCAGGATCAGCACTCTCATCTTGGAGAATGGAGTTCTTGGCAGCTGCAACAGATGGTTCAGGGCGAGGAGCGCCTTTAATGCACTTTTTGGCGTCGTCGACGTCGTAGAAGCAGACAAAACCAGTACCTGCAGGTTTCTCTGTGACCTTGTCCATGACCACTCGGGCGTATCGAACCTTGCCAAAATGATCAAAGAAATCTTTGAGTTGCTCATCTGTGGTAGTAAACGGTAGGTTGCGAATAAAGACAGTTGAAGTGTTATCTGTCATCCTCTTCGGAGCCAGGCTCTGCACCTCCTTCTCAGCCTGCTTGTCGGCTTCATCATCTTCGTCGTCGCCGTCCTCATCCTCCTCCTCCTCATCCTCGAGGTTCTCCATGTGATTCTTGAAGAAGTTCTTCAGATCAGCATCCAATTGATCATCCCTGTTAACCTCTGCGCCACCCTCCTCTTCATCCTCATCATCGCTTCCCTCTGAAGAGGTTTGGTCATCCTCGTCTTCCTCAGCAACTTCCTGCTTCTTGGGTGCCTTCTTAGGATTAGCCTCCTCCTTTGGTTGTTGTTTCTCCCAAGTATCCTTGTCAACAGCCCAGTCAACAGCCAGGGTTCTTCCGTCAATCTCCTTGCCGTTGATGGCTTCCAACGCACGTTCGGCGTTCGGTCTTCCCCTGAGGGTAACGAAACCGAATCCTTTGAGCTTGCCCTTGTCTTGAGGTAGATCGGCAAACTTGACCTTTCCAAAGCTTCTGAAAAGATGGCTCAATTGTTCTGATGTCTTAATGCTCCAAGGCAGGTTGCGCACGATGAGCTTAGGGGGTCGCTGAAGCTCCTCCTTGCGAAGCTTGTGAGCAGGCAATTCGCCAGTAGTATTGTTTCTTTGTCTTGGCTCAGCAACATCAATGCGGATTCGGCGTCCATTCCAATCTTGGTTGTTCAGAGCTTTCTTGGCCTCTACGGCATCCTCAGCGTCAGCCAATGTGACGAACCCGTAACCTCTTGACTCCTTGGTCTTTTGGTCGACGACAACAGTAGCGTGCTTCACTGGGTAATGCTGAGAGAAGAAATCGGTAAGACTTTCGCTGGTGGCACCGGGAGGTAGTGATCGAACGAAGAGCGATCTTCGATCTTCGACTCGGGCTCTCTTGGAGGCCTTTACGGCTCCATTGTCGCGATCTTCGAAAGAAGCGGGATCGAGCTCCTCTGCCTCAGTATGAGGACGCTTTCGGTCGTTCTTTGATGCACCCATGCTTGCTGTATGGTTGTGCAAAATGTTTAATAAAGTAGAATAGAATGGCTTTGCGACCAGAGCGAAAAAAAAGTTCGATAAGGTCTTATCGATGGAACGACCTGTGGAGGTACGTACCGCACCTGGCGGTCCGTTAAAGTGGAGTAAATCAGCCCCTCAGTCCCTCGTTGCGACTAAGCCGTAAGGGGAATACTGGTAAACAAACAATGCGAAACCTCCTTGGGCAACTATCAACATTGCTCTTTTAACAACAGTCAATGGACTAGAACGACACACGAAAAATGCCTGCAAGAACAACCGCCCGTTCTTCGAGGACGTCAGCTGCGCGAAGCTCTGCTGCGTCTCGTACCTCACCGGTCGCCGAACCAGTTGATACCCCCGACAACGCTCTACGAACCAAAGTATGTGCTGTCTTTCGTGATGCACAGAGGACCACGGCGACACACCGCAAGCTTGTTGTGAATCTACGAAAGATCCAGGAGTCTTGCGCTTACGAGCCAACAAACCCCGACCAATCTCATGCAGATGATTTCGACGAGGATGCTTTTAATCAAGAATTTATACGCTGTGTCAGCAAAATCATGCCAATCAAGAAGTCGGAGAGTGTGGGAGAAAAGTCAATTAAATTCACCGGCCTCTTTCTACAGCACGCAAGTGCAAAAGACAATGAACTTCTTGGAGAGATTGATCAAGATGCGAGTGTCATGCCAGAGACTCCGAGCACTCGCCTAACCTCACAACTTCTCGAAGCCATTCTTCCTCTTCTGACCGCCAAGGATAAGGTGGTCCGCTTCAGGTCGACGCAGCTCATTTCTCACATTATCAACTCGCTCGACGCGATAGACGACGATCTCTTCCAGAAACTGCGCCATGGGCTACTTAAGAGGATCCGAGACAAGGAGGCCATGGTCCGCTCTCAAGCGGTGCTGGGTCTTGGTCGTCTTGCAGGAAATCAGACGGAAGGTTGCACCAACTCTGATGATAGCGACGACGACGATACCGGACTGCTCGAGAAGCTGCTGGAAGTTCTACAGAACGACCCCAATGCTGATGTGCGAAGATCGCTCCTCGTCAACCTTCCCATCTTACCTGAGACTTTGTCAGTCCTTCTCGAGCGCGCGCGCGATCAAGATGCAGCAACTCGAAGGGCTGTTTATTCCAGACTCCTCCCTGCCCTAGGTGATTTCCGCCACTTGTCCGTTAAAATGCGAGAGAAGCTCCTTCGCTGGGGCATTCGTGACAGAGACGAGAACGTCCGAAAAGCTGCAAGCAGACTGTTCCGCGAGCGATGGATTGAGGATTGCGCGGGTGTACCACCTCAAGAGGATGGCGTACCTGCAGAACCGGCACCTCCCAACTTTGACGGCCTCCTTGAACTGCTAGAGCGAATCGACGTGATCAACACTGGCGTTGAGAACGGCGTTGCACTAGAGGCCATGAGAGGCTTCTGGGAAGGACGCCCGGACTACCGTGAAACAGTAGAGTTTACTGACAACTTTTGGGAGACCCTATCTGCCGAGTCTGTCTTCATGGCCAGGAGTTTCAATGATTTCTGCCGCCTCGAAGGCGATGGCAAGTACCTGAACCTCTTGGAAGAAAAACTCCCCGAGGTCACCAAGCTCGCTTTCTTCTTGGAACGATACCTTCACGTCCTAACTGCTGCCGTTAAGAGGGTAGCAGAGGCAGATGACGAAGATGAAGAAGAAGAAGACACGGTAGAGCAGGAGTTTATTGTTGAACAACTACTCCAAATTGCACTGACCCTCGATTACTCTGACGAAGTTGGACGACGTAAGATGTTCACCCTGCTTCGACAGGCTATTTCGATTCCTGATTTACCAGACGAGGTCACAAAGCTCGCCGTAGAGACACTTCAGAGTATCTGTTCGCCAGATGCTGCCGGAGAGCGAGAATTCATAAGCATTGTCCTAGAGTCAGTAGCAGATGTCCATGACACAATTGTCGACGACCTTCCTGCAGATGATGCAGAAGACAGCTTCCATTCAGCCAGATCAGAGGTTAGCGGTCAGAGCACGCCAACTAAGGGAAGCAAGCGAGGCGGTTCCCCTGAACTGAGCGAGGAAGAGGCGCGTGAGAAGGCAGTCAGAGAAATTGTTGTCAACATGAAGTGCTTGCATATCGTCCAGTGCATGCTCACCCATGTGGCAAGCAACCTCCAGGACAACACCGATCTTGTAGCGATGCTGAATAACCTCGTTGTTCCAGCAGTTCGAAGTCACGAGGCACCCGTACGGGAACGAGGCCTGGTTTGTCTTGGACTTTGTGCCCTCCAGGATCGCTCACTTGCCGAGGAGAACCTTAGCTTGTTCATGCACTTTTTCACCAAGGGTCACACAGCACTCCAGATCACAGCTCTGCACATTCTGACCGATATTCTCAATGTCCATGGTGCCCAGCTCTTATCGTCAACACCTGGCCTGCTGAAGATTTACGTCAAAGCTGTCAAGGGTGGTGGCAAGTCACCTGAGGTCCAGGCGGCTGCTACCGTTGCTGCCTCAAAGCTGCTGCTTGGTCGTGTCGTCAGCGAGGAGGAAGCCTGCCAGGATCTGCTCAAGTCACTCGTCGTTGCGTACTTTGACCCCTCGTCTGCATCCAACCAGACTGTTCGACAGGCACTCAACTACTTTCTCCCTGTCTTCTGCTTTTCCCGAGAAGAGAACCAAAACCTCATGCGGTCCATCGCCCTTGACGCAATCCATGCTCTATTCAATGTCCGCGAAAGCCTGGAAGATGATGATGTGGATGTTGACGAGGACATGGTCAGCATGACTACCATCGGAGCTTGCCTCGTCGACTGGACCGATCCCCGAAAATGCTACAGATCTACAAACCTGCTGGAATCTGACAAGAAGGCGGTCAATGGTGACGTGCATCTCGACTTTGCCATGGATATTCTAGAGAAATTACAAGGCAACATTACGAGTGAGTGAACAATTTGCATTGACAACAACGCACACTGACCCATTCACAGAAGAAGAAAAGAAACTCATCGGTACTCTTCTCGGAAAGCTCCACATTTCCCCTGGATCAAGCGAGGAGAAGCTGCGTGAGGCTTACAATGAAGTCAGCATCGCAGTGGAAGAAGGCTTGTTATCTGATGCCACTAGCCGCAGCGCTCTCTTCAAGCTTCATGTCAGTTTGGGCAAGATCGTGAATGCCCTTGATGAACAACAACCAGCCCACCGACGTACCAGCAGAAGTACCTCTGTGATCACAGATCATCAATCACCTGAGGAGGAGAAGACGGTCATGGAGGAGCCAAGCATTAAGGAGGAGGATGAAGAAAGTGATGACACTGTGGTTCCTAAGGAGGAAAAGGATGAACGAGAATCTCTTGTGGACGACCTCTTGTCTGATGGCGACGATGTAGAGATGACAGACGTGTAAGAGACAAAGATTGATGAAGTAATGACATGGGACCTGGATGATTTGGTGTATCGTGATGGTTGGACAGATACCTTGGGTTCGGTTATGGGAGGGATCTTGGTTTTGGCGACGTGTTCTCGATTTACTATTGTTTCTAATTATGATGTGCTTATTCCATGAATTCCTGATTAGACACAAGGAGTCATGCTTATACAAAGTTCTCAGATATTCATGCATGAAGATACCCATCACTGAGAAGCTAAATGATGCTAGTTACGCGCCCCCAACCAAAATAGGAGACCACCAAAGCCAATGTTGATCAACAAGTGTTGACCGAGACTCCAGGCCATACAGTAGAGATACTTGGGTGAGAAAACTGTCCAAATAAACAGATGAGTTCTCAATGAAGTGCAAGCCGCCATGACTAATGCAACTGTCGCCGAGACAAAGACAGTCTGCAGAGTAATGTATTGCCAGAAGACATTGCGCTGACCGTCGTGGTACTTGCGCAGTAGGAGAAGGTTGGCGGCAGATGTCCAAAAGATTGGCCCAGCCCAGTTGCTGACCAAGGTGAGAAAACCAACGGCAAAGAAGTTGAAGCCACTGATACCGTTGTATACGCTGGAAAGATCGACGGAGGAGATGGCATTTGAGCCACCAAAGGCGAAGAATGTGGTGTATTGAAGAAGAACAGCCGTGATGGTGATTCCAGTTACCGAGAGATCGGTGGCTTGGAGTGCGTGGAAGAGGATATCAGATAATAGAAAGAGGGGAATGTTTGTAGCACGAGACTGGGTCATGCCAAAGATGGTATAGAGATGATGGAAAAGATATGCTGTAATGTGTCAGTGGCTATAGTGCACCCATGGTGTGTGTATGAGAGACGTTACCTGACTGTAACTGGCCATTTCGACCGCCAGTGAACGACCGATAGATGCCGTACCCAAACAAGATGCTGAGAAGAATAAAGGCAGTCCTGGCCCTCCAAAGCAATGACTGTCCCACGAACATGTCGTTCAAGCTTCTAGCGAAACCAACAACGAGCTCCGGGGCATCCTCGCTCGTGAAGTCAAGCTTGAAGCTATATGCAGACATGAGCAGAACTGAGGTAGCGCTTGTGCTAGCCAGAGAAGGGAGACTCTTGAGACGGGCAAGCAAGCGGAATGACATGAGAATGTATCCAAAAGTGACAATAGCCCAAAGGAGTTGAGGATGCGTGTTGATGAAGCTCTTCACGATGTCAGGACTTCCTGCAAACTTCTGGCCAGTTTGATTCCAGCCCCTGGTGAGCCTCAAAGCCACAAGCGCAACGAAAACCCAAGCGATGCCAGCAAGGCTGTTTCTTCTAGTATCTTGGTCAGTATGAGAAGGCATTTATGTACTCGGCAATCACATACCTTCGGATATGAAGCACTCCTTGTATCACAAGCCAAATGCTAGAAGACCAGTACCAAAAGTGCTGTTCCTCCTCAACATAGCTACTCGCATACATCATGGCACCATAAGATAATGTCATCAGGCTGAATGGAAGAATTTGTCTATCTCGATGAGTCCCAAGACTGACAAGAACAACTGTGCTTGCAATAGCGGCAACAGCAGCAATCGCTTGGCCAATGTAAAGCTTGGGCATGTCGTAGTTTGAAGCCATGCTGCTCATGAGATCTTGGGCTCGGCGGAGCCACTGTGACATGTCATCAAGCCACTTTTTGTCCAGCTTGTTACCAGCTGCGAGGATATGTGCCTCCTTGTTGATCCTTCGCCATTGACATGCCAGTTCGTTGATCTCGGTCTGCTCAAGAGCACAGGGGTCAATGCTACCCTGTGCGTCAAAGAGCTCACTTCCAAAAGCGGCTGTGACAATGTTGAGAATTTGTCTAGCATTTCGAACTAGAATCTGAATCTGATCACTGGTCTTGTGCCAGAAGGGGAGGAAATCAGGAATGAAGGCTCCAAGGTTGTTCTTGGAAACGGGGAAACCCAAAAGGGCGGCAATAGTAGGCGCCAGGTCAGATTGCTCGACCATGGAGTAATAATCGAATTCGTCCTTGGGCTGAGCTGGAGCAGAGAGCCTATGGGAGACCTTCTTCAGCTTTGGAGACATGAAAACCAAGGCTGGTGAGGTTTCGCCAGGAGAAGAAGCACCATGGTTACCAGCATCATTCATGCCATGATCACCACAAAGGACGAGGAGTGTCGAGTCCAGATGAGGCTTGGACTCCATAGCTTCGAAAAGAGTCTTGACAATACCGTCCATTTCCCGCTGCTTGGGAAACATATTCGAGCTTTTGACGTGTTAGTGGAATGATGAGAGAAATAACCGCCAGTCAAATAAACCTTTTTGGTCCAGCCTTATGCCCGATATGATCTAGACCAAGATAATGAAGCACCATAAGACCCCAATCATTGTTCTCAAGTTCAGGGGCGATGTTTCTGGTGACATTGTTGTCAACCTCTGTGAAGTCCTAGTAAGATGTCAGTCGGACTGAACATGAGAACCATGTTTTGAGTCACAAACCGCCACAAAGAAGCTGGATGTTCCATCTTCGCGATCGAAAGTGTTGGGAAACAACTTCAGCCAAGTGTCATCACCGTACATGAGAAGCTTGCCCATCCCTTTGGCTTTAATCTGAGCTAACCAAGTATCTTGAGAAGCGAGTGTGGACGAAGTATCTGCCTCGTCAAAGTTCAAGATAAGATCAACAAAAGAAGGAATTGAACCGGTTGTCATGGACTTGATTCTCGGCATAGTAACTGTGGGTGATCGAGCATTGGCTGTGAAGGGCATTGCGCTGCCATCTCGGATGAGACTGGAATTTGATAAGCACAAGTATTGATGAGATTAACTACAATCGGCATGTAATACCTTTGAACATAATCAAATCCCGAGGCGTCCGAGTACACAAAGTCGCTACAAGAAATGTCAATTGAGAGTTCAGAATGAGATACCTGGGGTTCATCAATCAAAGCTCTACCTTCTGAGGGCATCGACAACCATAAATATTAAACGGTCAAATGGCGCATCAGGAGGCGATCCAAAGTCAAGAGACTCGAATTCAGCCAATCCAGGAATAAACGGTTTATATGGGAAGAAGCCCAGCGCAAAGGCGACAATTGAGACCGGGATTAGAAGATTGGCTGCGACAAGCAACAGAGTGCGCAGTAACGAGCCGTTGTGAGAGGACACCATTATAAAAGACAATTATAGAATAGGACAAAGGAGTGACTAAGACGAGGCTGAATATCGTATTGATACAGAAAATAACCCGTCAATTATGCGCCATCATTATATTGAACAGTTAAAAATGTGTCAGCTGTACGGAGTAGAAGTGATGGACGTGTCGAGATGAGCGCGACAACCTATACGATAGCCTTGCCAAGACGAACCAAAGAGGTGGTGGTTGAAGGCGGTAGTGTGATTGGCTGCCCTACTCAAATTGAATGTTGAGCCACACAAGGCTGAGGGGCAAATCTAGATGGAAATTTTGGGTATCACAGATTCAGATTGATTTAGATTTTGCTGCTAAACGCCGATGAATGGATAAAAACCCCCAGAATAAAGACCAGAAAACAATTTTACCCCAATCTCAGTTCAAGAGCTCTTCTTCTTGCCCTTGGATCGGCTACCGTAAGACTTGAAGACAATCTTGGAAGCCTTTTGCTTGCGCTTGTCGACTCGCTTCTTCTCAATGCGACCACTTGAAGGCTTCTTTGAGTCCACATCCATTGCTAGACATGGCTGGTTAGTGAAAATGAATGAGACAGAGGCGGTTTTGTCAAAACTCACATGTGGCTTCATTGTCTTGAACATCCTCCTTGGCATCGTCGTTGGCGTCCTCTTCTTGTGCTGAGAATAGGTATGTTAGCGCTCAATCGTCTTTGAGATGGTTATACCATGCCACTCACTGTTCATGTTCACATCTGAAGACTCAGGCTTGGGCTGCTTGGCCAACTCAAGGAGCTTAGCAGAGAGACGCTCATTTCGAGCGGCCTCGGCGGGACCAAAAACATTTTTAACAAGGCGCCTGTTGTTGGCCTTTCTGGTGCTCGCTCGTGCGCTCTTTGCCATTTTTGTCGATATGGTTGAAGATGGATGCTTGAGTAAAAGTCGTTATCAAAGTCCCCTGCTGCTAAGAAAAAAAAGTTGGGACAAGCTACCGAGGGGCAGTGGTGAGTTTAACTGTGGCGGTGTGTGGCTAGTAAAGCAAAAGATGAACAGAGGGAGACGCTGGGATCCTAGTCCAGTCCCTGCGTGTGCCAGGGATGACCGCCTTCTATTCTTGGACTCGGGTGCGACTACACTCTAAAGACTGGGCAAACATGACATACCTAGCGTGAGAGGACGACGACGAGTCTAGCGAGTTTAGAGCACGCGTGGTGGTTGAGATAGTTCGATCGATTCTCATATTCAGTGTCAGTCAGAGTGGAGGGCCCATTACCTTACCTTTTATAATCCGATTGTACATTCATCTTCTAGATGTAACTTTTATATCGCTTCCGTTCATTCACTCGGCCACTCACTCGTACCTTGCCAACCTACCTACCTTAGGTACTTTTTCTCACGGTACCATTCAGTCTGATACAACCAATTCCATTCCTACAGGCTGCACCCGATCAGCCTGCGCATCTGCCTTGGATGCCGTTGCGCGCCTTCCACAACCACTGTTCGCGCCCAACACTGGCAGCACCTTCCTCCACACATAATCTCCCTCGATAACGATAACGACACCTTCCCTCGGCCCAAAAACGCAAACATTAGCGACCGATAAACGGAAGGAACGACCGACCGACCCTCGACATGGCTTCCGCAGGTTTTGGGTCCGCTACGGCCGCACCCTCGCACTCAACAAGTGCACACGCAAATCTTCGATCAGAAGCGAGTTCTCTTGCGCGACAAGTTAACCGCTTGTTAAATCGCCAACTCTCTTCTGTGTGCCAGGTGAACGGAGTCAAGAGTACTGGCATCAAGGCTGAGCTACAGCGTCGCATACATAATCGTGAGTTTAGGGCCTGCTCATACACAC